AATTGAAATGAAAGGCATAAACAAGATATTAAGAGAAAGCAAGAGCATGATCTTGATCTGAAAACCAAGATGCCTAAATGCATGGCAAATGCCTCCTTTTTATAGGCCAAAATTAGGAACTATTGATTTGTTGACTAATTGTTTAATGGATGGTCAACTCTTGAATTTATGACAATCCTTATCTTCTCTTGTTTGAATAAAACGTTATTGATAACATCAGAATTTAAACCAACCTCCACATGAAAGTTCTAGAAAATTATCTCAATTTTCTAGGAAAAACATTTGAGGTCATTTGGAGTTTTAGAACTCGAGATATGGGCTGAACACTGAACAAATTCAAACTTTTACTTTGTTGTTAAGATTTGGACTTCTAAACAACAGAATTGAGTCTTGACTTTCCATGAAAGTTTTAAGCCTATGTCTTAGCTTTCTATCCATATAAAGCAAACTTAAATATAAGATCTACAGATCCAAATATGACCTAATTATCGAACATTGTTCCAGTTTGGACTGCACCAGCATCGTTTTTTTAAGTTTGGCCCTCTCTTTATCCTTTCAATTTTAGTACTTAAATTCATCAATCAATCTTTTTATTTATGTAATAGGCCTGCATTTAAGATGAACATTTACCATAAATTAAAAGTAAATTATATTATTAGAGATGTTATTATAAAACATTCTTTAGTTAAAGAGTTAGTGATACTTCAAGTGCAAAATGATGATATAAAGCCTTGATAAAAATGCACTTTCAAGTACTAATCAAAAATATTTGATTTTAAATACATGTGGTTGTAGAGGGGGTGTTTCTCAATTGAATAGTAGTAGTTGCAACCTTTAAGGTAATCTAAAACATCATATTTATTTTTCTAAAAGTTCTCCCTCAATCAGCACAGTACCTTGAATTACATTGTTTTAACTAATTCCTATAGATTAGGGTTTTTATTTGAGATTTACCAATTTTCAATTTGATTCTTATTCTTCTAATTTCATTCTATTTTACCCTTAATTTCCCTCTTTCTTTCTAATTTCGTGTAGTTATGCCTTTGCCAAATTTACTTATATAGGGGTGAGCAAAAAAACTGAAAAACCAATCAAACTGAGAAAACTGAAAAGAAATAACTGAAAAAACCAAATTATGAAAAAAATAATTGGACTTTTAAAAAAACCAACTCGTTCGATTTGATTTTATAAGCCTGAAACTAAAAAATTGAACCAAACCGAAGCCAAACAAAAAAAAAACCTATCCAAATAAGAAAAAATAGATTCAAACCAAACTAAATTGAAACTGGTTGGATTGAACAGGTTTTTGTTCTAAAATAATCAAACCAAAACTGATCGGTTTGAGCCGGTTTCAGTTCTTTTTATAAAAAAACAAAACCGAACCTAAAATGATCACCTCTATACTTAACACCCTAATTTTGAGCATCTTGTACAAGTTGATCACTAGTCTCTAATTTGTTCAATTAGATCACCAGATGACCATTAAACTTTTATTTTTTTTAATTTGACCTTTGATTTCTCCTAATTTTAGTCCCAGAAGTCGAGTGTATTTTGCAAGTTTCTCCTTTGTTCATAAAAAGTTCAATTATATTTCTATTTGCTCACTAGACTTTGAATTTTATGTAATTAAGCTCTTGATTTGACTAATTAAACTTTCCAAGATTCCAATTAAGTCCTTAAATTTCAATTATTTCAATTGACATCAAAATTGATGTCCAAAAATTTATTTCCCTTACGATTAAACTTTAATTAATTAAACCTTTGAAAATTCAATTGACTTTTTAAACACCTAAAAAAAATATTTTTATTAATAGGTTTTGTTAGTTAAAACCTTGTATTGCCATTTTGGCCTACTAACTTCAATTGTGGTATTCTAGTTTACTATCATTGGGTTTGGACATTTATTTTTTGACTACATGTGTTTTCTTTTATATTTTTTTTTTATTTTATTATAAAATGGGTAGCAACTCCTAGACTAGAAAAGGAGTCGAGTCAAGAGGTCTTAATAAAAAATTGTTAGGTTGGATTTAATAATAATATCAAATAGTTCTTTATAACCTAGATATTTTTTTTCATTTAAAAAAATTCTTGATCTGATTCATGATATAGCATAGACATGTTAACTAGTATTTATTCAAAAAATTAATGTAAATTTGGGCAGCATCAAGTTTTTTTCTACTTTCTTTTTTTGAGTTTTTTTTTTGTAATGATGACTACCAGGATTGTAACTCGTTGCTATTCTTGCAACCTAAATGTGTTTTGATAATACAATACATGATTATTTTGAAAAATATTTTTTAATTAAAAATAAATTAAAATGATTTTTTTAATTTTTATTTTTTATGAGCATCTAAAAAAATTAATAATATATTTTTATATATATATAAAAAAAACAATTTAAAAAGCAAGTAGAACTACAAAAACAAAAGTAGGAAATTTTGGTAACTTTGAATAAAAAGAGGTGCAAAATGAATGATCCATTTCCACCCGTTTGGATTCTTAAATGATACGTTAACAAACTCATCAAATTTTCAGAGCACCATGTGAATACCGCACACAATCTGAGTTATGATACGTTAAAAAACTCATCAAATATTCAGAGCAAATATTCAGAGCACCTTGTGAATACCACACACCATTTGAGTTATGATACGTTAACAAACTCATCAAATATTCAGAGCACCCGTTTGGATTCTTAAACGATACATTCAACGATGCTGTCACGAATTTCTTAGGTAATCACGGGAATATGCACATAATATTGGAACAGTTCCCGTCGCTATAAAACCTGGGAGAAAATTTCTTTTTGTCCATGTGAACACCACATACAATTTGAGTTTTTGCCAAGACATGATTTTTGCAAATACACATTGGTAAGAATCCAATCATTATTACAAGATAAGGTAGAATCCGAATCCACCAAACCAATCAGACAAGCATCTCTTCCATATTTTACATTAGTAGTTTATAGTTTATAGTATCAACTAGTTAAAATATATAAAACAAAGCTATTCTCTTCCTCCAAATCCAAATACATCATAATCTTTCACCTTTTCTTTAGCACTAAATATTTCAGTTGAATATCTCCCTCCATTTGGAAATATAACTATACTCTACTGGATATGCTCAGCGTTGCCAAGTCCAATCTTCCAAGTCTGATGACTCACTCAGAGGTTGATTACCAATTTTATAACTTATCAAGTCAATAAACTATAACAACTTTCGTCATCCAAGACCCTGAATCCTTCTCATCCGTTCACACATATATGGTATACTAAGTTTTGTGATGTCAAATCAATTGAAATATATGATAATGACTTGCCTCCATTACCTGCAATCGAATGAAATTAGATTGAAGGATCATAACAATATCGAGATAAATAAACTTCAGGCAGAAACCATAGTTTCCAAACAGCTCCTAGCCTGTCCTTGACTTGAAAATATGTACAGAACGATCCTTACATGGCTAATCAACAGAAAGTGTACAAGCTGTTATCATATTACTAGACAAGAAGATACGAAAGAAATTGGAACTCCGAAATTTGAATGATCCATGATACAAAGCATGACGACAAAAAAAGATAACCAGAGTAACTCACTGTTATCAAAACTCAAAAGCTAAAAAGAAAACTGGCATATTGTGAGATGTACCTTTACCTAATAACATCAGAAGTTAGAATGGGAGTGGCAGTAACAATCCAATAGACTCTCAGCATGCACAAGTTCCAAGGAACTAGACTTGATTAAACTACTCTACAACCCTCTGGATTCCATTGGCATTTCATGTAGGATTGAAGTTTTGTATGCAAGTTCTGCAGTTACATAGTCGTATTTTGAAATTGAACTGGGTTAAGGAAAGGGAGTTTTGCTAGAGCCTAGACGTGCCTTTGGGACAGCAAAAGGCAGCCTGATCTCTTGTGGAAAGCCAATGCCCATGGGACTGGGGTGCGGGCTAATTAGCAGCAAGTTCCCAGCTAGCCAGTATCAAAGCAGCTTTGTTTCCGACAAGACGTAAATAATGTTTCCCTAGCTCTGATTTCATTGGAAAAAGTGAAATGTTGGTTAACAAAATGATGGCCCTCCACTCTCTAGAAAATGTCAATAACCAAATGGAGCTATGCCATGCGAGGAAAAAAAAACCATGGAATAGAAAATGATCAACTATACAATCCAACTTCGTGATTCAATACCAAGTCTCAAAGATACCAGCTTATGTACAGGAGGATTTAGCAAAAGAAATAGCATCATTGTTTACATCCCTTTCAGTATAAAATTGTTTCAAGTCCAAAAGGAAAACTTCAAGAATTGTCCAGTGCTTTATGAAATCACTTATAACAGACATTTTAAGTATAAAATGTGCTTATTCGAGGATGTAAAGATTAAAGATTTCAGCAGGCATCTTGCAGAATCCAAGTTACATAATAACAAACCCGTTATACACTATATAAATGCTTGAAATTCTACAAAGAAAAGTGTATCACAATAAAACTTTTTAGAAGATAAATAGAAAAGCATGAAATTTCTACATAGATTTCATAAAGAGAATTCCATTATCACCATTTTCCAAGAAATCCTTATCCTTCCATGAAGCTGGGGGATCATAAACATAGCAACAGCGAGGGTCATGAAACATATTTTCTTAAGAATTGACAATAAGATTCACAGCAAGGGTGGTGTTAAAAGAATAGCCACTGCTTAATTTCATTCATATTTCATTTTCAATTCAAGTATGGAAACTAAATTACAGAATGTCACTCTGATCTATCATCTATGTCTATAACTTAAACCTATAAACGGGTATCATCGTCTAAATTTGTGGAAGCAGAATAGAAACCTTTGATATAGCCCCTCCCACAAATTACGATGAATAAAAATGCTGAAAAGGTGTAATTATACAATACAACTACAACAGAGAAAAAAAGAATTAAAATATGCAGGAACAAAATGCACCTCGTTAGCTATAGAAAACTGGTGCCCGCATGGCAATGGTGCAGAAGATTATGAGCAATAGCATCCCTAGCCTTCATTGAACTTGCTGATCTCAAAGCAACCTCAGGTACCATCTCATCATCAACAAGTTCCATCCTCAGCTCTGGATCCATTTCCTCATTTTGCATTTCACAAATATTATGCAACACACAGCATGCCCCGAGAACCACCGGCAAGTCTTGTAGTTTCACCTCTGTTCTTTTCTGCAAGCAGCTCCACCTCCCTTTCAACCTTGCAAAGGCATCCTTAGCAACCGATTGAATCTCCCCAATCTTCTCATTAAAAGCATGCTGAGTCCATGTCAAATTCTGCTGTGTATAAGGCACCAAAACCCAATCCATTAATGGGTACCCTGAAGTCCCAACAATCCAAACATCCTTCAAAAGGCCTCCATTAGCCCTTTGGAATAAAGCAGACTTTTCCAACACCTGATCATCAGGCATTGAACCAGGCCAACCAATACACACATCAGTAAACACCCCTTTTGGATCAACAACGCCTTGAACAGTAATTGAGTAGGATGTTTTCTGATTCCTCTCTGTATGCCTCTTATTAAAATACGCGGCAACGCTAATCTTTGGAGCTATAATAGGTATATGAGTAGTATACATAGACCCCACAACATTCGGTATCCCAGAAATAGATTCAAATTCATTTTTTGTCTTCCTCAAATTATCCTCATCAGGCCATTGCAAATACTTAGGCATTAAAACATTCCTTATAGCTGAACATACTTCAAGAACTAATTTATGGCAAGTAGAAATACCTAAACCAAACCTCTTTGACACAAGTCTAAGTGGTTCACCAGTAGCCAATCTCCAAATACAAACAGCAACTCTTTGCCTAACAGGAATAGCATTACGCAAAGTAGTATCTTCTTTAGCTATAACTGAATTTAACTCCTCACATATCGAGTCAAAAGTAGACTTACTCATTCTAAAAGCTTTCTTGAATTCTTCCTCTGGATAATCTGATCTATTACAGTCGTCCCACCATTCTTTATCTCTATCTTTCACCCACAAACGTCTTTGTTGACCACCAGCACCGCCACCGTGCTTTGCGTCTTTAATTCCTTTAATAGCAGCAACCCCATTAGAGGCAGCAGAAACAGCCGCAGCACCAGCTACTGCCCTTGACTTCTTGCGCTTGTTTCTTTCTGTTTCTTGAATTTCTACGTGGTCATCTTGAATATTGCCATAATATTCAACCATTGTTTTAATCCTTTTCTTGTGGTTTGCCTCGAACAATATTTTCTCTTCATTTGAAGCATGGTTTTGCTCTTCTTGAGCATTCTTCTCTTGTTGTTCTAGCAATATCAATGATGTGATGAAACCCTTTAAGGTTTTCTTCTTCTTTCTGCTGCCATCTTGTCCAAATGAATTGCTGGCATCACTATCATTTTCTTCTTGCTTGTCATCTTTTCTTTGCCTTTTCTTGGAGTTGCTGATACTATTAGTTTCATTCATTTGGTGGAGTGGAGATTGAAGCAAGGTGAACATATGAAAAAGGAGAAAGAGTTGAAACCAGAGGCGCAGAATTAAGAAAAATCTTCAATTGATGTTGGCTTTTTAAGAAAGTGTGAACACACTACAGGATAAAAGAGGCTAGAGCCTTGCCTTTTACTTGTACGATTGAATTATATATATATATATATATATATATAGATTTTATATTATAATGATTGATTTTTAAATATTTTTTATAAATATATTAATATAATATTTTTATTTTTAATATTAATATATTAAAAATAAAATTTTATAAAATACAGTTTGGTTTGGTTTGGACCTCCTTAAAAAATATATATATATAATCTTAATTATAACATACTTATCGAATAAATATTGAATAACATTATTTTTTAAAATTTGAAAACCTCACACCTCAAAAAATATATTTTATGAATATAGTAAATAAGTAAAATTTTAATTATTTAAAATTTTTATAAAAATTATATATTTTAATTTGAATTCAAAATTTGTCATACAATATAAATTTTTTTATCACTATATTATGATTGTTGTCATGCTACTGGAAAATTGGTTTTCATAAAAAAAAACAAGAATCGATCAATGCATATAATCTACTACAAAATTGACCACACCTAGATTGTTAATTACATATTTAGAGTACTGATAAGAATTATCCTCATGAATTTGATTTAGATTAATTAGTTTTAGCCTCTAGCTAGACTCATTTTTCCTTTTTATTAAAGGACTAATTGAGCAATGATAGATATTAAGGAATCTCTCTCATGAATAAAAATATTCATTTTATTATTCAATATCTTATATAGGCTCTAAATTTATATATATATATATATATGAATAACTTCTATATATTATGAATTATCTGTTAAATTGGGTTGTGAGAGATGGTAAAGCCATGATAGGTGCGCCATAGATCATCATCTGTCAAAGAACAGAAAAAAAAACGTGGGCCGAGTGTGAACACGGCTTTGCGGAGTTACTAATAAATGTTAGACTTTGTGACATGTTGGGTGTGGGGAGGTGGCGGCAGGTGTGAGCTGTGACTTTAGGATTACGCGGTTTCTTTTGGATTCTGGCTACTTTGCCAAAGCTCTGGAAGGAATGCTACTGATGTGGTTGGGTCTTATCGATTGCCATTATCAAAATAACAACCCCCGAAAAGAAAAGGAAAAAAAAAAACTGCATATGGAGCTGAACCAATCAATTAACATTGAATTTGCATACCAGCAGTAACTTCAAATGGGACCCTGATCCTGCTGACAGAGATGTGGTCCCCTCTCTCTCTCTCTCTCTCTCTCTCTAACAAGGCAAAGGGTTGCTAAGCGTTTGGGGACTTCGGCGAAAGCAAATTTGTCAACTACTTTTGTGAATTTTTTTATGATGATGTCTAGATGCCCTTAAAACTAACGTGCTTGCTTGTGCAGGAGCAATTTTCTTCCCATCCTGTCTTCCTTTTTATATCCTTCTTTAAATTGTTGATAGTGATTGTTGTTTTGCTTGGGTTAAAACATCCGCTTTGTTGGGGAAAAAAGAAAGGAAGTTGAGGAGAATCTTCAATACTAAAATTGGAATAAACAAAATTAACAAAACCTAAAAAATTATATATATATATATATATATATTACAAAACATTACTTATTGTAATAGTTCAATGATAAAATTGTTCAACTTTAAACAGCATATGATGGGTTTTTACCATAATACAATTATCATTTTCAAATCTACCAATAATAAAATTGTTTTTTTTTACTTTTTTACACGCTAAAGTTATTTAGTTATCCTAAAATAAAATAAAAAATAAACTTATATTCAAGGCTTTTTAGTCTTTTTAAATTTTTTTAACATAATAAAATAACTTAATTATCCTTAACTCCAAAATTTACTAAATTCTTTTTAAGGGGTTTTTTCATCATTTTTTTAGTATCAAGTTAGCTTGAGAGAATTCTTTTTAATAAATATTTAATATTTTTTTAAAAAAACTTTGAGGAGCGATATTGAAAAGGTCTCAACATCCTATCTACACGACGTGTGCGTCAAATGCACCTCTGGTTTAGTGGAGACTACCATTTCCTTTTTTTTTCTTCTATCTTTTTGCCTCAAATTTTGCTCCAACCTCTTTAAAATTTCAAACCTTCCCCCCTAATTTTTCACTTTACATTTGGTCACTATCCTTTCAATCACTATTTTTTATTTTAAATAATTTATAAATAATTTATTCTTTTTTAATTTCATCCCTTTTATTTTTTATTATTCAAATTTGTTCTTTATTTTTTTATTGCTATTTTGTTGTTTGGGATCATTTTTAAATTTTTTTTATTTCATCTTTCTTGGGTATTTTTCCTTTCAAATTTGATCTTTATTCTTTTATTGTTATTTTTTTTTACTTTGGCAAGTTTTTTAAATTGATATTTTTTTATAATTTTATCTTTCAATATTAAATTTGATACAGACTTCATGATCATGTGGTCATTCAACCCACAATCAAGAATGAGATTTGATCCTTGAAAGCCAAAAGAGATCTGATATAAGTGTGACACAATGAAAACATGTACCAAGACACCAGTAACACGACCAAAAGATTGATGTCTTCTTCCAAGTGCAAGAGTGTCGAAGTAATGAATAACCCGGCAAGACCGAAGTCAAACCATAAGAAGATTAATTGTATAAATTATAAATAACAATAATACAACAACAATAACAAGAACAAT